ATATATCCGTATACAACAAATGAGATTGAATTCATTACTATTCAATCGCGTGTTCATATCAAGTGTTTAACAGAAATTGACTTCATTGAATACATTTCTATTGAATAGAATATAAATAAAATAAGTGAATCATGTTTTATTGAAGAAAAAGTATCTTTGAACAAAGAAATGTGTTTTTTTCAATGTAAAAACGATTAGATTTTTGTAATAGCAGCAACATTGAATGCGCGTTCTGGATCCAATTGATAGTCATAATCCAACAATATTGAATGGAAACCTGGAAGCACTGGATGGCCGTTTCGTTCTCTTGTGAGACTTCTCAGCATTGCACATGCACGATCCCGCCTAGAGAGAGATTCGAACCCAGAACTGTTGAAGAGTTTCACAATAAGAAGGAAAGGGCAATCCAGTGCTTCCAGATTTTGCATGGTGGTTTAGCTTCATTTGACTCATGATCGTAGCCATTGAAATTACTATAATATCCACAAAAACCCTTCTAATATTTAATGAAAACATCTTATTAGTACATGTATTCATATTTTACGTATATAAACACGAATGGGACGTTCATTCACCTTAGATGAATATCTACACTAGATACCCTTCCAGTGTCCATTCTACAGGACTTCAACACAAATAATATCAAAAACACGTGACTAGCTTGACTTGAACGTAACTATATTTCTACATCAAAAGCAGACAACACTCCTAACAATATTAATAATTGTAGGAGAATATATAGTTAATCTAAAACCTGTTACATTATCTACACATCTGACTAAGCAAACAATGAAGCATTATCTTCCTTGCCCACACATCAGTCTTATACATTTTTTATACATTTCATTTTAAGAAAATTATAAACAAGTATGTCATAACGTTCTGTGATGGTACCAATGTAGTGAGCGACAACACAAATGGGGACAATCATATGTATTAGAATACAAAATTACAAAACATCTTACTTAAATCTGAGAACTATACAGTAAATACTTCGTTTGCAAAATATCAATCAATTGTCTCAGATTTCATTGTTCCTTTGTTTCCTTACCAATCATTTTCTGTTCTCGTTCTCTTTTCTTCTATCTTCTTAACCTTCTGCCGCTAGGCATTTCACTTTCGATTGATCATACATACTACTTATACCTGTCGATATCAGTAGCACACACCACACCACATCAATATTCATGGTATTTTCGATATCTTTCAATAATCTTTGAGTAAGTAGTTTACTCAAATTCATATATATACATCTGACAGAAACATCTATCAATCCATTAAAGTACATGGATAATTATAAGTGGTTACAATAAAACTAAGATCACGAAATCAACGAACAGATACTGGGATAATACAAAACGGTAATTCATTCATTTATTAGATCCTTACTTTACATTATCAGAAAAACAAAACAAAAGAAACAGATAGACTATACATTCAATTCAATCTTGACTTTGTAGAAGAAGACGAAGAATAATAAACACTAAAATGAAAACAGATTCCTTAAAGTATTCTATATATTCAATTCTATTCACTTGCGTGTTCACATCGAGTGTTTAACAGAAATTTACTCAATTGAATATATTTCAATTGAACAGAATAAAAAAAGTAAATCGAATCATGTTTTTCTTTCTTTTTTTTTGAGAAGTTCAGTCAAATAGTTTCTTTGAATAAAGAAATTCTCTATGAACAGTGAAGTTATGCAATAGTTTCTTAACATTTAATATTATCGTATTCTCATTATTGAAGATCGTAAATTGTTAGTTACTGTTTATATACGTAAAACATAAGTAAATGTATTAACACTGTATTTTAATAAAATTTTGTTGGGTTATGACAATCAATTGGATCCAAAACACACATTCATTATGTGCTTTGGTACGGCCGAGCGTGTGGAGAGTCAGCTGTCCTTCTCGAAATGTTCTCAAATGGCCACGTGTATACAACCGGAAAAATCCTACTCACTGCCGTTCTCATGACGCAGTTGTTGTTTATGAAATTAAGAGGACTAAAAGTGAATGTCCGGTGCTTTAACAAAGTTGGTACATACGGAGGATCAACCTAGGGGAGTTGAAAAAACCCTGATTCCAAACCAATGACGTACATGGGCTTCATGATCCTAAAGTAGTTAATGGCATGTGAGCCTACTGTTGGTCACCTGCAACCAATGCACTGCATCACTTTATGTTGCCCGATATCTTGTGGATTAGACCTTTAGATCGAAGGCTCAGGGTGTGGCCTCCTAAGAAAGCCAACTGTTTCGGTTTGGGCACCCAGGCAATATCCTAGCTCATTTCTGTTTGGTGCTTCCCTGTACCGATGTTTATGTATTTTAATAAATAAATAGAGTGTTGTTATTAACACAAAATCTAATCGTTTTTACATTGAAAAAAACACATTTCTTTGTTCAAAGATACTTTTTCTTCAATAAAACATGATTCACTTATTTTATTTATATTCTATTCAATAGAAATGTATTCAATGAAGTCAATTTCTGTTAAACACTTGATATGAACACGCGATTGAATAGTAATGAATTCAATCTCATTTGTTGTATACGGATATATAATTCAATGCAACAATGTTATGATTAATTTATTATACTGAATCAATGATGCCTGTTTCAATGTTAGATTCAATTCGTTAGATGAGACATGTTATAGACATGGAATAATCATAATGATAATGATAATAATGGAGATGATATGTGATACTTTAATGAATCAATTGAACAGAGTGAAGATTGAACTGAATGTATGGTATATGTGTTCGGTTTTGTTTGTGTTATTCTGATAATGTGAAGTGAAGATGTACTTCATGAATGAAGTACCATTCTGAGAGATCATTTTATAACTTGGATTGAGTTTTATGGTTTCACGATTATTATTATTATTATTATCATTATTGAAACTGATTGTAATTAAATGTTACTAAATTATTTATTTTAGTTAATCTAGATTGAAGTATATAATAAAATCTTATTATTTGTGGTTTGTATTACAGGCTGAACAGGAATGAACAACTTTTGGATTGTAGTTGAGATTAGAAATTCATTCAATTGCTTTAAATGTATGAAGCGAGTGTTAGTGGGTTGGAGTCCCGGAGTGAACATTATCTCTTGTAAAGATTTTCTGGGTGCTAAGCCGCAAGAGTGTATCTCTATGGAAAGCCTGGACAAGATGCAAGACAGGAAGGCATCAATTAACAACAGACAAACAAGAACAGAGAAAATCAATGCACAAGCTTAGTGCATTGAAGCAAACAAGTAAGGGGAGACGAGAATAAGGGCAGACAAGCAAAGATACGTGGTAGACCTATCAAGGGCAGGGAACAACCTGCCAGTGAATTAAATTTGAGACAACCGTATGACACAACGAATAGTGCCAGGGAAATGCAGTAAACCAGAGAGTCCGATTGAGGACAAAGAATGAAATACATTCACTGAAATCCAAGGACAGGGGAACAGATGGGTGGAACATTTCGAGGAACTCTTAAATAGACCAGTTCCACTCAATCCATCGGACATCGAAGCGGCACACACACACATTCTTATACATGTCAATCCACCAACGATCCAACAAATCAGGATGGTCGGTCATCAGACAAATCAAGAGCGGTTAAGCAGTAGGACCGCACAATGTTCACACTGAAACAATGAAGTCAGATATAGAAATAACTACAGAGATACTCCACATTCTTTTCATGAAGAAGATTTGTGTTGAAAAACAAGGGCTGACGGACTGGAAAGAAGGATACCTCATCACGATACCAAAGAAACGAGATCTGAGTATATGTGAGGATCACATTACTGTCAGTACTAGGAAACGTTTTCCGCAGTGTTGCTGAACTGAATGATAGACTCAGTAGACGTCCAACTTCGATATCAACAGGTCGGATTTTGTAAGGATATGTTGTGAGCATGCTAAATCGCAACACTACGGATCATCGTTGAACAATCAGTTGAGTGGAACTTGTCACTATACATCAACTTCATTGACTATGAGAAGGTGTTTGACAGTGTGAACGGCAGAACATTATGGAAACTTCTTCGACACTATGTAGTTCCTGAGATGATTGTCAACATTATCCGGATCACAGTGCAAATTTCTGCATGGAGGACAGCTGACAGTTGCATTCGGGTTGAGGGCCGGAGTCAGACGAGGCTGTCGACTCTCTCCATTCCTCTTCCTTCTGGTGATCGACTGTATTATGAAGACATCGACATCTGAGGGAAAACACGGAATGCAATGCACATTTTGATTGTAACTAGACGATTTGAACTTTACAGATAGTCTGGCTCTTCTTCCCCATACACGTGAACAAATGCAAACAAAAACAACTGGTTTATCAGCAGCCTCTGCAACAGTAATCCTCAACATATACAAGCGAAAAAAGGAAAACTCGTCAAATTAAACACAGAGAATATCAACATAATCTCACTTGTTGGAGAAACACTGGAATAGATGAAAACATACATTGTAACAAGTTCCATTCTAACTAAATTCCCTTCATATATTCTATTATTATTTACATCAAAATAAAACAAATACACAATTGAATATATAATCATCTTTTTTGTTTTACTGAATGAAAAATAATAATATTGATCTAGCGCAATTTTTAAAAAAACAGGCGGGAAAAAATAAAAACATGAAAGAAATTACATTCAAAAAAGGGATAAAAAAGAAAAGAAAAAGGAAGAGAAATTTAAATGTAATGATGTATTGAATAAGAAATTACATAATAATACATATATATTATTGTAATATATATGATGCAATTTACATGGAATTATCAAGTAACATATGAACATATAATGATTATGATTATGATTACATCATCATGAAAAAAGAAATGTGTTCGATTGGACATTGACCGATTGGTGTGTATGACCAGTTTTGTGGGATTTTTTCTTTGTTTTTAATTCATTGATAGTGGGTTGACACGTCACAGGAGTTATTTCTCTTCCACCAACTCTCTCTCTCTGTCTCTTGCTCTGTCTATTTAGTTAATAGATTTATCTAAGGAAAAACAAACAACAAAAAGAGAGAAACAATAAACAAACTTTAAAATATGGACAAATAGTTTTTTTTTCTTTTTTCTTTCTTTTTCTTTTTTAAAAAATAAAATGCTGAAATTATTTTCAAAATTTGGTTCAGTATTGAAAGAGTTATGATGGTTTGTTGTTAAGGGGGAATGATTTTTTTGTTGTGAAATTGCTTACTTTAAATTGGGTAGTTTATTTGTGAATGTTTTATTATTTTGTTAGATAGAAATCATTCAGATCAATGACTTCAAAACGAAACCCAATTATCAATATTAATTGTTTTTCTGGCTAGCATTTCTTTAACGAGTTCGTTTTCTATGGAAGCCTCACTGAATTCACCCAACATCGAATCAGCATCCACGATCTCACAATAGATGTTAGTTCACCAACAATTGAAGAGATGCAGGAGAAGACAATCAGTGTAGCAGCAGCCTCAACTGCGGTAGGTCTCAATATACACAAAGGGAAAAGCAAGATTCTCCGATACAACAAAGCATGTAACAATTCAATCACACCTAAAGGACAAGATTTCGAAGATGTGAAAACCTGTACGTATTTGGGCAGTATCATTGATGAACAGGGTGGATCTGATGCAGATGTGAAGGCGCGGATCGGCAAAGTCAGAGCAGCATTTTTATAACTGAATAACATCTGAAAATCAAAACAACTGTCAACTGCCGATACCTAAGTGAGAAGTTTCAATACAAATGTCAAGACAGTTCTACTGTATGGGGCGGAAACTTGGGTAACAACGAAAGTCATCATCGAGAAGATACAAGTGTTGATTAACAGTTGTCTACGCAAAATACTTCACATCCGTTGAACAGACACCATTAGCAACAACCCACTGTGGGAGAAGACAAACCAGATGCCAGAGGAGGAAGAAATCAGGATGAAGCGCTGGATGTGGATAGGACACACATTGAGGAAAGCACCGAACTACGTCACAAGGCAAGTCCTTACAATGAATCCTCAAGGCCGAAGGAGAAGAGGAAGACATTACGCCGGGAAATGTAAACAGACATGAGAAGAATGAACAATGATTGGACAGAACTATATAGGATGCATAGGACATAGTCTTGTGGTAGTAACAGAATTGAGTAAGAGTAAGTAACTACCAACAATAACTCTCTAAAATAGCTTCCAACTTACCAATCCTAAATAGGATTACTTACTGTTATAACTTACTTTATAGTTGTGTTGAGTATTCCATGGGATATCAATTACTTTTAATACATTAATATATATATTCCTTTATATCTGTACAGATAGACACATGTTCAACTAAGATGTTGATATGGTGAACAAAATGGATCTAATTAAAAGGTCAGATATCAGGTCAAATTAACAAGACATGTGAACTATCACAGTATGACGGTCACCAACAGCTAGACCTCGATAGAAATAGCTATTAAGGATTTCTTGTACGATAATCGTAATGCTTCATTTCTGTTAGAAAGCTTCTTAATTCAGTGGTTGAATTTATGAGTCGATTAAATCTGGACCAGCAACAAAAACCTGGAGGCACTGGCTGGCCGTTTCGTTCTAGTATGGGACTCCTCAGCAGTGCTCATCCATGATCCCGCACGCGGGAACTGAAGCCATGACCTTCAGTTTCATGCGTGAATGCCTAACATCTAGACTATTGAGTAAAATTATGGAACGCCTCAGGGTTTTGAGCGTCATCCTTATTCAAAGGCAATGCTAATCTTCTTTGTATCGTTCCAATTCTAGTATATGTACCATCGAAGTGAGTACATTGATATTCCTGTGTATATTTGTGCACGACTTAGTATATTTTCACGTATTGAACTCTGTTTTAGTATATTATTTTTTTATTCATACTGGTATGTTTATGATGCATGTCAAAATATCTCTTTTCACTTTACTGCAATCTACATTCACCTGTGTAGTTTCGACTCACAACTTACACTTAAATCAATATACAGAATTCTCAATTTTCGAATACCTTCTTACACTGTTACTGGGATAATTCTTTTGGGCAGTTGATCCTATAAATTTAATCGAATGGAGTGAATCATTCAATTGAATATATGGACGAATTTGTGTTTTTGTAAAGCCCATTGAGATTTGCTACAGTGGCTCATCTATAGAAGATAGATTTGGATAACTTGAGGTACCCAACATGCAATCGTCAGTAAGAATTATATGCACCATCCACCCTCCCGTTGAATGAATAGTAAAATCTAAGATCTTGCAGGTTATCTATCTATATATTAATCTATCTATCTATCTATCTATCTATCTATCTATCTATCTATCTATCTATCTATCTATCTATCTATCTATCTATCTATCTATCTATCACCAAGACAAGTTTCCACATATACATATAAACTATGCGATTTTATAAATCGCAATCACTTTAATTCTTCTAAAACGATACTATCTATTATTTGGTATTATAATGTTATCTTCAACAGTATGATACCCATTATAAGCTATTAGAACAATCCATGAAGTGAATACTTCATTTACATCATACTACTTAAATTATTATTATTATTCTGATTCTTCCAATTAAACACAAGTTACTTGATATACTGCATGTCAAGTTTTTTATGTCACAAGAAAATGTTTGTATTCAACTATACAACTAACTATCTAACAAATAGTTTATAACTGAATTCAAATAATAATAACCAATAATATTGTGTTTATTAGTACCTGAGGCAAATCTCATTTAAAACTGGTAAACAATATCGTTTGTGTTCTTTGAATCAATAACTAAATCATTCAGCTTGATTGCCTTTTCTATTTTTTCAAACAGTGGTCTATAATATTTATATCGATAAGCATCTCTAGTAAGGGTAGTAGTAGCAGTAATAATAATAATAATAATAACAGTAGTAGTAGTAGTAGTAGTAGTAGTAGTAGTAGTAGTAGTAGTAGTAGTAGAAGTAATAGTAGTAATAGTAGTAGTAGTAGTAGTAATAGAGTACCAGTTAATTAATATTATAAAATCAAGATTTTGTTTCTTGTTTCACCTAATTACAATCATAGGACTTTGATCAGATTATTGGAATATATATACTTCCCAACAGATCAGTAATTCCCTTATGTTCATATATGTATATATATATACGTGTATTTAACGAAGTTGAATCTTGACTAACATCAGCTGATTAAACTCAAGAATTAGCGGACAATAATAAAGAATAAATTTATTCAAAGAACGAATCATTAAAATGTTTATGAAGTTTTTGTTTTGAAAAATTAAAAAAAAAACAACCAGCAATTGTATCCACCATAGAAACGGATATAAAATTTGCACGGTTCAAGTTGTTATACCTTTTCAAAACTGTAAAATGAAATTTTTAAATCAAATCTTAGATAATGGATGGTGGCTGCAGTGGAATCCAGGATGCGCGTTTCGTCCTAGTTGGGACTTGTCAGCTAGATGTATCTGCATCTCAGAGTTGATGTTCACTCTGGGACTCGAACCCAGTTTTATTCACTTCAAATACCATCACGTTATCCACTCAGCTACTGAGTCCTGATAGCCACTTGCTTGTGCGATTGGGTGAATTTAAATTCACTTGGTATTGTTTGGCTTGTTTGGCTTAGATCAAGGCAATATCGAGGCATACGCACAGTATGCACATATGCCAATAACAGGCTGATCAATTGTAGTCTTAAACCTCAATAGGAAGATACAAGCCAAACAATACCAAGTGAATTATAAAGGTCATTTTAAAACTCAGGATTTAGAGTAACACAAATAGTGGTTAATGTCTAAGCCACCATGACAGATTATGAATAGTGTCACAGTGTATCTAGCTAACCAAGTAGTCTGCGTCTTCCTACAAAGTAGAGCTCGACAGTTAATGTCCTCGCTCACTGATATGGTTTTAATCGACCAATTCCAGTTTTCTTTTAGCCTACTTCTAAACCAACCATCATAGAGTGTCTAGATTGACTGTAGTTTGAATTATGTAATCCATGTCCTAGTCACCTTAGTCGACGAGCATACTTTCACGTCAGCTGAATCGACGTCTTTAATTAATACCCTCAAAAATTCTTCGAAAGCATAGGATTATCAAATGCTAATCACATACTAATACCTTCTATTCCTTAAGGCCACATTTTACATCCACAAAGTTCAATGAAGTCAAGTTCCGTAAAATATAATCGTTTTCTGGTTGTCAGACATGAAAGTGGATACCATTCAGTGAAAAATTGAACAATCAACGTGAATGGTCGATTAGTCATCATTCTGATTATGAACTAGGTGATTTGAATTCAAATCACCTGGGTTCCTAATTAGTCAAAAAACACCTCTTCAGTTACTACAACTTGATGAAAAAAAACGAAAAAATAACGTTTTCTATCAGTTACAAGTAACGATATTCAAATCACTTGGAATTCAATGAAATCACCTTTCTTCATTTCGACTAAGACATGAATGTAATGAGTTTGTTTAACAAATGAGTTATTAGATTATGAAATGCCATTCGAAGTGATTTGTATCACATAAGAATTGGACTGTAAATAATAACATTAAACTAAATATCAGTTTTTGTCTGAAAACCTTATTCTTAACGTTTCAGATTATGTAACTAAGCGATGTATTCTTGAATCCAAAGTATGAAACACAGTACATTTCACTTGACGTCATTTAAATGATCTTGCTCAGGATATCAATATGTTTACATAGTATAATAATTGATTTTAGTTCTTAAGCTCATTAACCAGAAAGATAGACTTCAACTTGAAGTTTGTGCTGATGATGTCGTTCAGAAGAACGATAAAAAGCTCCACGACCAAACCATTCATCTCAGAGAACAAAACTCTATCAAAATAAAAATAGAGATACTTACAAATATGATTTACCACGTGTCATTTGAATTTTGAATTTGTCTATAAATTGGAAGTTTCATAAAATATCTATATCATTACTGAATGTATATAACTAATTAAAACCTGAAGTAATATTACTTACCACAGAATCACCAATTGCTATCAAACTTGATCGTCTTGATGTACGAGGTTCAACATTTAGTTCATTGCCCAATTTCTATATCAAGAATATAAAATAAGAGAAAAATGACTTTCATACAATGTGAAATATGCTGTTACAGTAATCAGATAAATATTATACCTGTCATCAACAGTTTATCATTTCACTTTTACTGAACCGTAAAGAAGTCACAATAAAAATTTCGAAATTCTACTGTAAACTTATTTATATACTAGTGAACAGACAACTATATGCTGATTGAAATGTTAGCCATTATCGACAATAGCCTTTAATATATGTCAATCGGCGGAGAAAAGCAATTACAATATTAGTTTCTTGAATTGGTTGGTTAGACATTAGCACCATTGGATGCCGGCCGGCTCAGTGGTATAAAGGTTCTGGTTTTGAATCACACGTATAAGATCGTGGATGCGCACTGCCGAGGAGCTCCATACTAGGACGAAACGGTCATCTGATGCTTCCAGGTCTTCAATGGTTGTTTAACATTGATCAATTCATGATCTCAATGAAAAACGTAACAGTCTCCACAACCCTACACTGATAATTCCTGGAATGTATATATTTCATAAGAGACTGTGAAATAAAAACAGCTTTATGACATCTTGGAAATATCGCTTTAAAGTGTATACTATGGATACATCTATGAAATCACTCACATTATTTGATGTGATTTGTTTCACAGGTTCATTGACTTGTGATGAATTCCAATTCAATTTTGTTTGTATATTTGATGTACGAATAAATGGTCCTTCACATACTTGAGCAGTAAGTAAATTTTTCTCTTCAGAATTTAACAAACCACGAGATTTTGGAATTGTATACCAATTTGTTCTATCAGTATCTTGTAATGATTGATCACTACTTCGTCTAGATAAATTATCATTTATTTTATTTGTTGGTATATGTGATGTAGTGTTTTTCTCTTGACGTTGTGCATCACAACTATGTCTACGTAGTTTAGATACACTTGGTAATTGTAAACCTAGAAATGATGTATAATTTTTTTTATCTGATAAATTTATATCACTTGTTGGTTTATCAAAGCGTAAGTCACTGTTCTGTGGGGGAAGCTAAAGAAAAAAAAACAGACAAAACATACGGATCTAAATTGGGTATTAGTATTTGAAATAGTCAAGGTAGTAACTTAAGGGGACTAATAAAGATTGATTGAACAAAAAATCGAGTCAACAATAGTTGATGATTTAAATATTGTAGGCAAGGCAAAAATTTATCATACTACCCAATAATTTAAAATGGTTTAAAGATAATCGTGGTAATAACAAATAATTTGAAGAAGTGGCTTACATGGAGTTACGAAACGTTAGAAATATAATTTTTCTGCTTATTAGGATATGAAAATCATAAATTTATTATTAACCTTCTAATCAATGCTCAATTTATTTGAAACTATCAAGTCCAACCTTGGCGTTGATACACATTATCAAAGAGATTTCAGGCCACTACAAATCGTTTGTGTACACATGAAGCGAGTTTAGATTTTGAAGTTCTCAAAGCTTTCAATAACCCGAGAAATACTTGCTTACTTACTTACTCACTTACGATTATCACTCTCGTGAACCATAAGTCACCAACCAGCGATATCCAACATACGATGTCCTGAGCTCTCGTTTACAGATGTTGACAAGTGTGCCATTCATTCTCTTGATGTATGTCTCCAGTTCTCTGACCAATGTATTCTTTGGTCTATCTCTTTTACTTTCACTTTGGTAATTTCAAGTTAGGGCTTGCCTCGCGATACATTTTGATGATTTTCACGATCTATGTCCCATACACCTCCAATGTAGTTTTCTTAACTCCTATTCATCTGGAAGCTGCTTTCTCCACGGACACAATGAAGTGTGGATGATAATGTCTAATCAACCGACCTGAAGTATGTTCTACAAACAAGTGTTTATATATACTTGGAACGTCTTGATAATGGTTTATTAGTTCTCCAAGTTTCAGCCTCTTACAATAAAACTTTATCCACGTTTGTATTGGAAATTCTGACCTTGATGTTTACTGATATTTGTTTTGAGTTTAAGATGTTCCCTGGTTTTAGGAATGTTGCCCTTAATTTACCAATCCGTCCTTCCACATCTGTATCAGGTACCGCTTGTTTATTGGTAATCCTGTCCAGGTACGAGCTTCTCCACGAAGAGTGACCTAATTTGCACTCTCTATGTTGTATCTCATGATCTCACTTTACCTTAATGAATGTTGGCGCTTACTGCATCAGAGGCTGTCACTAAAGTGACTGTCTTCATTATATATATATCCATATATATATATCAACTGGATCATGAAGACGTCAACATCTAAAGGGAAGCACGGGATACAGTGGACATCTAGGATGCAGCTGGACGATCTAGACCTTGCAGATGGTCTGGCTCTTCTATTGCACACGCAACAACAAATGCAGGAGAAGACGACCAGTGTAGCAGCAGCCTCAACTGCAGTAGGTCTCAATATAAACACAGGGAAAAGCAGGATTCTCCGATACAACACAGCATCCAACAATCGAATCCCAATTGACGGAGGAGATTTGGAAGATGTAAAAATCTTTATATATTTGGGCAGTATCATTGATGAACACGGTGGATCTGATGCAGATGTGAAGGCGCGGATCGGCAAAGTGAGAGCAGCATATTTACAACTGAATAACATCTGGAAATCAAAACAACTGTCAACTGCCAATACCTCAGTAAGACGTTTCAATACAAATGTTAAGACAGTTTTGATGTATGGGGCGGAAACTTGGAGAACAACAAAAGTCTTCATCGAGAAGATACAAGTGTTCATTAACAGCTGTCTACGCGAAATAATTCACATCCACTGGCCAGACACTATTGTGGTGTGTGTTACTTATATTGACATAAAAAGTATATGATGTTAGTCGTAAACAGAAGGTCTGGAAGCAAAGAGACAAGAGGATCGAACAGTAAAGAATGGGAACAGAATGTAATTTGTATGAAAATACAAGAACAATGAAGTCTGAGCCATTTTGAGACAATTAGCGGACATTTTGCAATATATGCATTTAGTTTATGATTGTTAAAGTTTATTAATAAGTCCTGTAATTTGTGTTAAATACATTCGATTGTCCTCACACGTGTTCTGTTCACTTCACTATCAGAAACAGCCCATTGTGGGAGAGGACAAATCAGATCCCGGAGGAGGAAGAAATCAGGAAGAAGCGCTGGATTTAGATAGGACGCACATTGAGGAAAGCACTAAACTATGTCACAAGACAAGCCCTCACATGGAATCCTGAAGGCCAATGGAAAAGGAGAAGACCAAAGAACACATTACGCCCAGAAATGGAAATAGACATGAGAAAAATGAACAAGAATTGGATGGAACTAGAAAAGAAGGCCCAGGACAGAGTGGGTTGAAGAAAGCTGGTCGGCGGCCTATGCTCCATTAGGAGTAACAATCGTAAGTAAGTCCTTAACAGTTTCTATTAAACCTTTTGAAAGCGATTTTAAGGCCAGTTCTTCGAGAGTTTCAATCATTATTTCTACTTTAGTTGAACGTGGTCTTCTTGATGTGAACAAAGATACAAGAAACCTTGACAAACTAAGGAAGCTATTTTTTTGGAAGTTATTTCATTTGATTCAAAGCTTGTGAAACAATAACATTTATTTTTGTCCCTAGTCTACTCTACAGAACATCAGCTTTCGTTTGGTGTATGATTCACTGTCATAGCTTTTTTTGTTCCAAAGCTATGGTATATTTTGTACTTTAGCTTCAACTGACTCATGATCTTAATCAGTGAAATTACTATAATATGCACAAAACCCATCTGATATTTTGTACTCTAATTTCTATGCTAATTTCCAGTTTTGGATATAACTGTATTTTCTCAATTATTGTGCGTTATGATCTGGTTAGTCATCTATTTATTCATGTATCTGTTTACACTGATCTGGAAATCAGGAACCAGATCAGAATTGAGAATAAATCGTGTAGTGTTCCAGTTGACTTGTCTTTTCTCACTCGCATGCTTGTCAGCCAATCAGCTGATAGAATAGTTTTCGACGCTTTCATTTTGAACTAACGCATACTAGCCTTAAGGTTAAATCAGTCAGCCTATCGCATCAAGGTCTTAATCTAGATTAGACAAGTTATCCTCAGCACCAAAAGTGAGTAGGCAGATCAAGGATGTAACATTTTTATTTTCTAAATCAACTGAGGAATTCGATATTAACTAATTTTGAATCCATATACACAATTGTTTCATGATCATCATTTGATCACATCAGTTAAATACTCCTTACTACCCATGTATCCCCACATAGACATATGAATTAATGAATTCATTAGAATGTGTGGTTTGATCGTTTATGTTTACGCAGAAAAGTCAATTTAGTAGCATAGTATCTTTCTAAATGGCTACTTTTAGTATCTGTCCTGAAAAAAAAGTATTTTTCAATATATTTTTCCATTGAAATAGAATTTTAATGTTAACTATTGCTTACATCAATATTTCGGTCAGCAACTTCATATCTTTACTAAACCTATTTACAATATATATATATATATATTGAATTCTCTTTAAAAAAGAGACTAAGATCTTAACACGCTTTATTTGTACTTTAAAAGAAGTAATCATTGATGAACTGGGGGGAGGGAGGGGAAAGTTAGTTGCTTTTCTTGTTCTTGATCGTGTTGCTGTTGTTGTTGTCAACATTCGATTGTTTTAAAATGCAACAAATGGATTCCATCTATTTCATTCGTTTAACCTTAATCATTATTTCTATTGAAACAATAATGATGAAATAATTTTTATTTTTACATGAACTGGATCAATTCATTGTTTAGTAATGTTAGTTTCATTTTAAAGTGAAGATGATTAAGGTCAAGCATTTTGAAGGATAGAAGGATAGAATCTATGAATGAATATTTAAAATAACCAGTATTTATGAAGTATGATAAATATGATCTTAGTTTAATGGAAATAGTTTCTTTTATTGAAGTTAAAGATTACTTAAACTGATCAATGATCTGTGAATGAATTGATGTCAACTGAAATTGGATGGAAGATCCTAGATCCTATTGTATATTGACGATTGATATTATAATCAACTTTGATTTACATTTAATAGTATAGTATCAGTTGGATAAGTCTAACAACAAATGAATGAACGTATGTGAAAATTGAACTTAATTGTATAGATTTCTATGACGTTAAAGTGTAATGAAGGAGAACACCATGTAATGGAGTCCTTCATTTTGACTTCAATTAGATGTTATCGATGTTATTAGCTGGCTCACCACTTTGGTGACCTGGGATCTGACTCCAGTTAGATCGTGTGTATGATTGGTATTGAAATGATTACTGTCGAAATATACATGTCACCAATCCTCTTATATAATTCTTGACTTAACTCGAGTTAGTGAATAACAGAATCAAATATGTCAAATAGGAGAATAGATTAGGATGATGTATATTTTGTACATTCGTTGATCAGAACAGACAATCAGAGAATCCCAGCAAATGAAGCGAAGAAGAGAGAGCGAAGCGAAACGAAAGGACGCACATTGGAGAGAGCATGTCAGCCAACTTCATTTAATCAAGCGTTAACCGATATTTAGTCACACACATATGTAAGAAATACATACACAAACGCTCATATGAAAACAATCTGGGTTGATAAGTGAATAATTAACAAGATCAAAACGTGACTCAAGAAGAATAGATAAATTGACTTGTCCAGAAGCTAAAATAAGTTATATGGGCTTAACATAGTAACCGACACTACAACCAGTGAGGATGACTGATCACTACAGAATCCCTTAGTAAAATCTGAAACCTGTACAGTAAATAATTCATTTGCAAAACAAACATCGAATTGTTTCAAACTTTGTTATTCCTTCGTTTCCATTCCAATCACTTTCTGTTCTCGTTCTCTTCACTTCAATTTTCTCAACCTTCTGTCACCAGGACATTTCATTTTTGATTAGTGGGACATACTACTTATATCTACTGACATCCGTAGCACACATCACATAGGTGTTCAGCAATATCATACAAATTGTGCATACTTCTTTTTTTTTAAAGTAATTTTGAAATGTAACTTACTGGACAGATAACATGTGCACTTGCTCGTCTTGTAATATTTGGACTATTTTCTAATTCTTTAATTTGATTTGGATGTAACATTGGTACAAACGAAACAGCAGTTCGAGCAATAGTTTTTGATGCTTAAAGATGTAAGAAAGAAATTAATCATTCAATTATAATCAACACAAAGTCTATTACAAATGTAGGTTAGTTCAAAAATCATCGGTTTAGATTACCATAACAAGATAAAATTAACAGACTGAATAGCAAAATAAACGAAACATTGTAGTGGCAGTGATAGTTAAAAAAAACTAAACAATGATATCACACACTGTGAAGACATAATGAAAAGGTATTTGCACAGGAAAAATAGAAGATAAAAAGTGAATGAAACTGTATCACTATAACCGACTCCAAGCTATGACATCTAACATATTCAGCCACTGATTGTGGTCATATTACCACTATTGTAGTGAACCAGAACACAAATGTGGAAAATCAAATGTATTTCAACAGAAAATTACAGAATATCTTAGTAAAATCTGAGAACCATACAGCAAATTCTTCTTTTTGCAAAATGCCAATCAATTGTATCAAACTTGACTGATTCTTCTTGTCCACACCAATCAATCACTGTTCTCGTTTGTCTTCTCATTGATCTTCTTAACCTTGTATCGCCAGACATTACACTTTCGATTGATGATACATATTACTTATATCTATCGACATCAGTAGCACACACTACACTATAATTCACTCTAAGCCATACCATTTAACATATTCAATCGCTGTTTTTGGTCATATTGCAAAATACTTTTACATTATACCTGCATTTTTTGAAAAAGAGAGAGAACGACGTTATTATATGGATATTTATTTCCCTACTTATCAATTTTTGATAGGCTTGATTAACTGACAAAGTTAATAATCATTTTGATAGTTGAGATTATGAGTCAGTTGAAGCTAGATCATCATGGGAAACCAGAAAGCACTAGACAGCCGTTTCGTCCTATTGTTGAACTGCTCAGCAGTGCACACCAAAGTTCTCATCTCATGAGATTCGAACCCTGCACCTATCGGTCTCACGCTCGGCCACCTAACCTCTAGACTATTGTGCCGGTCAGCATCCGACAGTGTTAATGTATAACTTCAACGAAATTGAGCGACACATCCACCATTGTCTTTAGTGAGTTAATATCTCATCACCCATTTCACCATTGAATTGGTGTTATTCCTAACCAGAAACAATGAACTAATGATATGTTGTTTACATTAGCTATTAGCTACCAAATGTAAGAGTTTATCACTATATAAAAATAAAATATTGCTTTAAGGGAGTTTAGTTGTTAGGACTTCATCAAAGGATTTAGACAATTTATGGCTCAATTTAATTTCCAATTAAACAACTTCATTTTGAATGAAACTATCAAATTCATACTAAAAAAGAAATGAGCTTTATAAATTTGTGTTTTAATTATAATGATTGTTGGCTAACAGTAGAGTCGAGAATACAGGCTTCTTTCTACTTGGAACTCATCCATCACTGATTACACCTGAATTCAAGTATTGATATTGACTATAACATTCAATGTTATTGTATTTTGAATAACATGCCTATCTGTTTTCCATTTAACTGTTGAATCAATATAGCTTATGACTTGTGTAACAAGTATTAAGGTATATTTTAAACTATAAACAAAATATGTTAAAGCTTATAACTCAACGTTTAGGTGGAAGAAATTCATTCATGGTGGACATATGCGAGCATAGAATGATTAGTTGCTTCAGTTACAGATAAGTGAATCAAAAACTAATAATTTGACTTGTCACTCTACTAAAAATGAATAATAGAGGTTAAAATATTCTGAAAGACATAACATTAGTTATTTTTCATTTGACAGTTGTCTATATACTGTCAATGTAAGAAAAAATTGTATTTTACACTTGAAGATATATTCGTTGTATATGATAGGATGTGGAAGACTTGAGTTTTAGAGAAAAAAAATGATGAAATGACAAAATCCGTGTCGGGTAGAAGCAGGTGTCTACCTCACTACAATGGAAGATAGTCGCGCAAATTCTTGGATTAGTTGAGGTTAGACATTAACACCGTTGGATGCCGGCTCAGTGGTCTAGTTAGTTCAGCGCCCGACGCAAGGCTGATAGGTCCTGGGTCCGAATCTCACGGGGTGTGGGATCGTGAAGGCGTACTGCCGAGGAGTCTCATACTAGGATGAAACGACCGTCCAGTGCTTCCAGGTTTTCCATGGTGGTCTAACTTCAATTGACTCATGATTTCAATCAGAAAACTTGATAATCTCCACAACCCCTAAAAACCTGATAAAACCAAGAAAAGTTAGATTATCGGATTGCGAAACTAAAGTGATGATCTGAAGGTAACCTTTTCATTGTATTATCTGAATACTTTGTGTTTAAAATCAATGAATGCGATCTCAGTTAAAAAGTAAACAGTTGTAAACCTACTTAGTAGTCTGATGGCTAGTCTCCCGTAATGGAGACTATAATCCCTGAGACAGATCGTCGTGGATTAGCACTGACTGAAAGTGACAAACTAGAATGGAGTAGATGTTTAATACACCCTTTTTAGTGGTTATCCACCCAAAACAGTCAGTGATGTAAAACATGAAACGTTGCCTGTATTGAAGAAAGAAGTTTCGGAGTTCCTAAAAAATTGTCAAAGTCTGCTAGGGTATAGTGAACGAATCGATCGATGTTAAACCGTCGAAAACCTGGAAGCACTGGACGGTTGTTTCGTCCTAATATAAGACCCCTCATCAGTGCGCACATGGAATTCAAACCCTTAGTTACAGGTTATTTGCATTATTCACATGACTTTCTCTTATTTTAAAAAGAGTTATCAGATTCATGTCATGACTAACAGGGATGAATTTAAAATACTTAGAATCAGTTCCATATGTTGAAACATTCAATAATTATTTTCAATATTCCATATATATCTATACACGCAAACTGATATGAACTGAGTACTGGTTAGATCATTCTTTGAAAGTTAAACGTTTTCATTAACGATTTGATGGAATTACTGATTGTTTGACATAATGATTACCATTATGAAATATCAGATAAATTATGACAATAACCTATAAAACTTCAATCATTAATCACGTTGTTTGTTCATTGAATACTTCAATCATACAACGATCTGTTTGATTGTAACTTTTCTTTTTTTTCGTAATTAATCTTCACTAATTTATGGACGACATTTGAGTAACGCTAGAATGACCTTGAAAATGTCCATCTACTAACTAGGAATTGATGAGGAATCAGAATTATGACATACAGTTAATAGTTAAGGTTAGTAATTACATCTAGGATATTCATCACGAACTGACATCAACTATGATGCTAAAATGGTATTTAGCCAAATGAAATGAGTGAATTATGCGCCAAAATTTGAGATCTTCTATCATAAATTAGATTGGTTCATTCATAAATTATAGTCTTACCATATTCCGATTCTATCCTATTGTAGATCATTCGATCGAAACTAAACTATCATTAGCGATAACATATTCAAATGACAAAGTTAACTTTTTTGTTTTCTATTTCATTTTATTGTGTCAACCTGACTTTGTTCTGATGCAAATTAATAATGCAATTAATAAATGCTTGGTATGTAAATATATTTTCCTTAGTTTGTTTCAAAAAAGGAAGCAAAATTTCATTCATATAAGCAATAGTGTTATAACCCGATGAGATTAATGAATGGTAATTGTTGGAATCTATGTCTGGACTAGTACTATACATATATTTTTTTATTGTATTATTGTTACGTAACTAAACTATTCATATTCGTGTTCCTCTTATTATAAGTTTTATGTTGACTTATGAACTATTATTATGCGATTTACCAATCATGAGTTATACCCAGTCTATCAATTATTATCTCTCACATTCACAGCTACTTTTGGTTAGATCTTGTACAAATGTTATTTTCCATTTTATGGTACGATGTGGTCTGTTTGGTTGGTATATAAACCCAGTATGTTTGAAATACATGATTCATGCAGCGGAGGCTGAGATTGGTGTTCTGGACTTAACAGACAGGAGCGACAAGGACTCTCGACTGCTCGTACGGGTTTTATGCGTAATTGATCCGGTCAATAATCCACTGTTCTGTAATTGGCGGTATCATTACGTTATATATTGATAAGGCACAAAACTACAAGTTTTAATAAATGGAATGATAACACTATTCAGAGAGATGTTCATTATAGATTTGAACGAACTGTTAACTAGTATTTTATTCATAGCAATTATATTTTCATGATAAGTAGAAAGCTTATGAAAGTAGTGGGTAATCACTTTGAACTACCTTAGATCTAGCAGTTTGGGACTCTATATTGGGTTGTAGAGTGGATCTAGTCAGTGAACCATCATAGGTTAGATTACGAAAATACAACTTCAAAACACCAGTTTGTTATAATTCATACAATTAAAATATGTTGTGTTAGGTTGGATAAAATAAGATGGCTACGACTAAATACTTCTTTGAAATGGAGAGAGAGCTTCCCTATGCTAACATTCCTTTAGACGAGAAGGAGGACAAAAACAATTAGAATTGTAATTAACATAGTTCATATTAGAACGGTTTGTCGAGGCAGGATATATTCACTTATCAAAGATAATCTGATTCCTTGTAATTATCAACATTTACAGAATGCTAACGACTAAACTAACATCTTATCTGCATGGTTAGGTTCTTTTAGAGGAAGATAAAATTGTCGAGAAATGCAATCATTAGTAAAATGATAGCGCGTGACCTATCTATGATTTCTAATTCGGATGTTCGCAATCGATTTAATAACTGTCTAATTTATCATGAGTACGAGAAGAAGAAACTAGTTATGAAGAATTCAGTTTTTCACGTTTCCAAATTCAATCGACTTATCATATGCCAAACGGTTACGGACAACTGAAAGTAGATTTTTAAAAAACCCCGAAACAAGTTTCGAGCTAATTAGAACTCAACAGAGAGCTATACTTGACGTCTTGTGGGAAATGATATTTCATGTGGGATTCAAACCTATTTTATCCAGATTCAGAGTTTGAGCTATTTCGAACTTGGTTGATCGTTTGTCTATTTACTGAATTCTAC